TGTTTTCCATTGATTATTCAGGAAGCCTTTCTGCATTTCAGTTGTAATTCCAGGTTGTTCCTGGGAGCATGTCCGTGCAGCATCCTCCTACTCTTTCACCATTTTTAATCTTCAAAATATGGATTTTTCTTTTGAAAAATTTAAAATTAAGATTGTTCTCTTGGGATTGATTAAGTACAATTCACCTTAGAATTACAGAATTTTTTTTTTTCATTCTCACCTGAGGACATTTCTCCATTGATTTTTAGAGAGTAGAAGAGAGAAGGAAAGACAGAGAGAACCATTAATGTGAAAGAAACACATCGATTGGCTGCCTCATGTATGAGCCCTGACCAGGGCCAGGGCTGGGGAGGAGCCTGCAACCAAGGTACATGCCCTTGACCAGAATAGAACCCACAACCCTTGGGTCCTCAGGCTGACTCTCTGAGCCAAACCAGCCAGGGTCAGAATTTTTAAAAGTGTATATATATGTATACATACACACACACATACACACATATGTACATATATATACTGGCCAAGTAGCTCAGTTGGTTGGAGCATTGTCCTGATACACCAAGGTTGTGGGTTCAAGCTCCAGTCAGGGCACATACAAGACTCAACCAATGAATGTGTAAGTGGACAATAAATCAATGTTTCTCTCTCTCTCTCTCTCTCTCTCTCCCTCCCTCCCTTTCTCTTTTTCTCTAAAATCAATCAATAAATAAAGGAAAAAAGTATATATATATATATGTATATATGTGTATATATATACATATATATATATATATATTTTTTTTTTCAAACCCTAAAATGAATTGATGCGATAGCTGTGTGATATCACCCTTATTCTACATGTCTTACTTTACCAATCCATTTCAAGTAATTTCTAACTATATGCGGTATAGGAGGAGGTAAGGAAGGGCAGGGAGCCTATATCAGGGAAAAAATGATGGTATACTGAAAAACATATTTTGCCCTTTATAGATATAACTACCATTTGTCTATATGGTATTCTCCATCAGATACCACATAAATATCACACCAAGTGTAGAGTGGATGAATATGCAGAAAATCCTGACTATCACACTTCAAATCTTTCCCAGGAATGTCCTATCTTTCATCCATTAACACTGCCTTAGGCAAAGGATGTCTTGTATGAACTGCCTACAAATAACAAACCAAATATTTAACACTTGGAGTTAGCTTTGTTTTTTATAAAAGTCTTTATAGCTTCTGGCTTCATTTTCCTTTCAAAGAAAAATAAATGAGTTGACTGTATCATTGTAGCTAAGGAATGTCAATTCTTTCAGTGTTCAAGTGATAGGGCAAGGCCCAATTGAGATCATTTTACTTGGTACTTAGGGCAAGTAAAATAGGTGCTGATAAAAAATGATTCATTCAGAGCAGCTATTACTAGAATTGTTAGTCTATATCACAAAACAGTGGGAGGAGGAAAATGCATTAGAAGGTTAATAGTTTTAGAAAGACAACTCAAAAGTGAAAATTTGAGGTAATGTAAAATCTGTTAAATAATCAGCAGGGTCTAAGAAATTATTTGCTTCATTATTCTGTTAACCATACTCATATAATGTTAAACCAAAAAGTTGAAAATGAGAAAATCTAACTCACCCACTGGTTATGTTAAACAAATATAACTCTATTTTGACATTGTACAGTTATACCCGAATAATGTCCACATAGTGAATTTTGACATATTATAGTCACAGCCTAAATGATACCTATAAAAATAACTGACAGAAAAAAGGAAAAAAATGAGCATGTATTCTCTTTTTTGATAAACCTCTATGTCTTTGTCTTTATTCACATACTGATGAATATATTATAGTGAATTTCAAATTTTAATATGGTTGATCAGTATAAAGATTATAGTATAGTTGACTAGTGTAGTATTTTATTAACTGTCTTAGTAGATTTTTGAATTGTGTTTCAAGTCAGGAAGGAATGCATTTCATAGGTGAATAATTATTTACTCCAAATACAGATTTTATCAGCACAGAAAACAGTGAAAAGAGGATGTTAATAATATAGGCAAGCCATTTACCAATATTTTATGACGAATTTATAGTAAGGCAAATATAACCTGGAACAAAATTAAAAGCATGTCATTTTCTTTTGAGTAAAATCCCTTAAAATAATGTTTAGATCTACAGTAGGAGGTATAATATCATTATATATATAATACTACATATTTTAATCAAAAAACAATTTATAAGGTCAGTCATTTTTATTCTTTAATATAGATAGTTCTCAGGTTTCCATTCTTGGCACATAAAAAATAGGAAGTGTTTTTCTATGTGGCAAATGAACTCATGAGGAAACTCTTGAATATCTCCTCTGTAGCCCCAATTTCAAGTCAATAGATTAAATGTCCACATTGTTCGCAACCAAGTCACAGCTGTCTAAATTGCTTCGGAAATGTTTAGCAGATTGCTTTATAGCAGGATGACACAGTTTGAACCACAGTTTCTTGAATACTTCTTGCTGAGAGCTTATCTCATTCAAATGATGAAGGCAGCTGAAGCATGGTATATGAATCATCCACATTTTGCTCTAATAACGGAGAACTTTAGGAAGCTCTAGTTGTTATAGGCAACACAGTAAAGCAACTGAAATGTGGATCTTACATTTTGCACCATTCAAACTGCTTGCGTAAGTATGTGTGCAGTGATAAGATACTTTAAAAATAAAATTTCATTTGGTGAAAGGCTTACTGTTAAACTGTAAAAGCAATACACAGATCATGTGACTTATCAGCATATAAAAATAGATATGCAAATGACTGTAGTTTTCCAAAATAGTATCTTTAATAGGAAACCCTTCATTATAAAGTGATATAGTTTAAAGTTGTTTTTATAAGTAGCACTTATTTTTAATTAGAACTTGCATGTCTTTTCAGCCATACCTTAATAAGCTATATGTATGAATATGAAAAATGGTTACATATACTTGTATTATAACAAAATTATCGAACAAGTTCTCAAGTACTTTATACTCATAATGAGCTTTACATATATACTAGATTCTGTGATTACAGAAGTCTATGTTTTTTTTTCACTCAAGAAGTGAATAATTATAAAAGGTAAACTTTGTAATAAATCAGTTTAGAGAATTTAAATGAACTATTACAGAAGAATTCTATCAATGAATTTGAGAAGTGGGCTTATCTAAATATCCAGCTTGGAATGTATGTTCAGTTATCTATTGCCATGAGTATCTATTGATTCCCCACCCTAAAACAAACAAACCACTAGAGTATGCCCATAAATTGTATGGTTTAGAAATCTGGATAGGACATGTAAGGTTGTTTGTCTCTTTCCATGATGTCTCTGGCCTCAAATAGGATTCCAACATCTGGTGACTTGAATTGATGGGGACTGGAATAGCTGAGACTAGAAGATCTATTACCATAGCTTGGTATGGTAATAGGATATATGGTATCTTCAATCACCTGTCTGGTGTCTGGGCTGGGATGATCTGAAGGCTGGGCTGTACTGTTGCAAGAACACCAACATATAGCCTTTCCACAAGGCTTTGGCTTCTCACAGAATAGTGGCTGGGTTCTAGAAAGCTCAAGCTAAGAGAACAATCATATGCTAGGAGTGTCAAAGTATTTTATTTGTCTTTTAACTGACACAATGAATATATTTACTCACCATCTTAGAGAATGTGGTAGTTACAGATTGAAAGCTTGCATTTTAAAGCCTGAGTAGAACAATTTGCTGATTGCAAAAATCATTGACTATAAAGCTATGTGATGGATACTGTGAATTGTCCATCAAAATCCACCCTGACCCTCTTGTTCGGTAAAACAGTTGTGGGTGGGCTTATGACTAGTCAGAGAGCACATTTCTTAGCCTCATTTGAAGCTAGGTGTGGTTAGGTGACTATAGTCTTACAATAGAATGGGGTCACAAATATGTTAGCTTTGAGCCTGGGCCTTAACACATAGGATTTATGAACCCCCAGGCTCTTTTTTACTTCCCACAAAGTAGATTATGGAGTTCTTTGACCCAGCTTCAAGCCTGTAGTTGAGAATAACACCATGGTGATGGTAGAGCAGTAAGATAAAAGACACTTGGGTCCCTAGATGGCATTGTGGAGCAGAGCCAGACTAATAACCTTGGATTAATAATCTTATGCAATCCTTGAGAGGGAGTAACAAATGTCAGTGTTCTTTAAGCCATGTTTGGTGTCTGTTAAAAAAGTTTAGCTTTACCCTAATTCAGATAGTAAATATGTATTAATGAATAATAGCTGGGAGCTTAAGAAATGATGGTAGGGAAAGCCACCTCCCTGTTGTTCACCTCCCAAACCCTTTAAAATGCTTGGTATAACCAATATTAATTCTTTGTACCTATTGATTTTATTTTCTGCCATTTTACAGTTGCAGAAGAGCTTTCCTCTAGAGCAGGGGTTCTCAACCTGTGGGTCGCGACCCCTTTGGCGGTCGAACGACCCTTTCACAGGGGTTGCCTAAGACCATCCTGCCTATCAGATATTTACATTACGATTCATAACAGTAGCAACATTACGGTTATGAAGTAGCAACGAAAATAATTTTATGGTTGGGTCACAACATGAGGAACTGTATTTATTTATTTTTTAAAATACATTTTATTGATTTTTTACAGAGAGAAAGGTAGAGGGATAGAGTTAGAAACACCGATGAGAAACATTGATCAGCTGCCTCCTGCCCACTCCCTATTGGGGATGTGCCCGCAACCAAAGTTCATGCCCTTGACTGGAATTTAACCTGGGACCCTTGAGTCCGAAGGCTGACGCTCTATCCACTGAGCCAAACCAGTTAGGGCAGGAACTGTATTTAAAGGGCCAGAAGGTTGAGAACCACTGCTCTAGAGGACGCACTAGTAGTAAAATAGTCATGTTTTACATAAACTTTCCATCTCTCTATTCCTTTTTCATTTTGACAAGGATAGCCAACATTTTTCATGTACCACATTGATGTTTCACTAGAAAAGCCCAGCATCTTGTAATTATATTGGCATGTAATAGATCTTAAACTCTGGAGACAAAGAGGTCACATTTCCATATTCACGAGCAGAGAAACTGTACTAATCCAGAGGCAGTTGTATAGGTTAGAACAGCAGTTCTCAAAGTACGGTCCAGGAGGTCTGGTCCGCAAGGTCAAACCTATTTTTATAATAATACTAGAAGCCCAGCATGCGAAATCGCACGGCTCCGCTCACCCTCGCTGGTCTTTGGTCATTACGGCATTAGGGCCACTGGGTTTTTATAATATAAATTATGATGTCGCTTGCCTTTTCCACTCTTATTCTCCTACAGGTGTTAAGATAGAGTTTTTTCAGAGGCTGTGTGACACGGGATGAGGTCATCACTCTGTTGGCTAATAAAATGAGCTTGTATATCCTTGTGTTTTAAAAATTTCTCAGCTTTAACTTCTAATATAGTAAACATCAGAAGATATAACTCACATAAACAAAAGCTCTTTGGAGTTTTAAATAATTTTAAGAGGATCAAGGGATACTGAGGGTTAGAATAAAAAGTTTAACTTCTCAATAGTGGTTAAAACATACTTTATTTTTCTTTACTTCAAATACATAAAATTCAAAATGTTACCATTCATTTGATTATGTACCAAGCTTGGAAAATGGTGTTTTCTGGTATCCCTTTCAGAAGAACATGTATATTTTGAGGAGATATTTCCAAACAATCTTATTTGGAATAACACTTGAGAATCAGAAGAATCTAATTGGTTAAACTGTAACAGCCTAGAAAAGGAACAGAATTTCTTGTTAATCTACTGAGAGTGGAAAAAGAGAGGTAGTCCCAGATTCAGGATAAAGAGCATCATCCTATACAGTAAAAGGCTAATATGCAAACTGACCAAACGGTGGAACGACTGGTCACTATGATGTGCGCTGACAACCAGGGGGCAGATGCTCAATGCAGGTGCTGCCCCTGGTGATCAGTGCGTTCCCACAGGGGAGTGCCGCTCAGCCAGAAGCCAGGCTCATGGCTGGTGAGTGCAACAGCAGTGGTGGGAGCCTCTCCCGCCTCAGCAGCAGCTCTAAGGATGTCCAACTGGCAGCTTAGGCCCGCTCCCCACGGACATCAGTCAGACATCCCCCAAGGCTCCCGGACTGTGAGAGGGTGCAGGCCAGGCTGAGGGACCCCCTGAGTGCACAAATTTCGTGCACTGGGCCCCTAGTATACTATATAGTGTGACCCCTCTTAAATCGTTGGTACCAAGTTAATGAATTCATAAATTCTTGAGGAGAGTTGATATTCGGGTAATTGGTCATGGGTCGAGCTTTAGGTCTATATCAATATAGGCACAGGCAGTGGGGAAGTGTTTTTGTGGGAGAGAAAAGGAGGCAAGCATGTGTAAACAACCCATCAGAGAATCAGAAAAACTGGATTAGGGAAACAGGCTCTTGACTTTAGAGCCAAAAAAGTGGGCATTCAAGGCAAACTTACCTAATTTTCTGAGGGACAGAGAGTCCCTGGCTGAGCATTATCCTAAAATATTTCTGTAATACGTATAGAATACCACACACACACACACACACACAATATCTACTCATAAGACACACCCTACTAGGCCACATAAGATTCCTGTAACCTCACTAGTGGCTTTAAGTCTAGCAGGAGAACAAGATATGTTACAAGACACCACAAGGAAATGTAAGTACCCAAACAGATTTATCAACAAAATGCTGTGGGAAGGTTCATACCAGGTTTAATATATACTTATTGTTTATAATTTGTATGTTTGTTGGTGTTAGAATCTTTTGGGAATAATAAGTAGACAGGATAGAGAAGGAGTCATTGAGAGAGGAGACAGCACTAAATAAATTGTGTTGCTGGTCCTACTTATTTCTACCCTAAAGCCAGAATTGTGGTGTCACTCTCTGATGATTCTTACTTTGGTTGAATGGCTTTGTTAGAGCTGCTTGCTGAAGCACGCGCGCACGCACACACACACAAAATTTGCTTCAACGAAAGGAAAGATTATGGGAACACAGAGAACCTAGGAAGAAACACAGTATAGAGTAGCTGAACTTCCCACAGACTAGAACAAGCAAATGCTAAAACATCAAGAACCAATTCTGCTACATTTCTTCCACCTTCCTGGGAGAAATAGTCTCTCATCTCTGCTTCTCTTTGCACATTAGCAGAGCCTTTTATCTTTTCTTTTCCTTCTGCCATGACAATGGCAATATCCTAGATAGAGACTGCTCTGTTAGCCCAAGTACAGTGAAGAAGACATGGAGCAGAGCCGTAAGCATTTTGCACGAAGAGATAAGCAAACCTTATTGTAGGCCACCGAGATTTTTGGAATCATTTGTTACTCATCATAACCTATCCTATCCTAACTGATACACATGGCTTATAAGTTCTTGCTTATTGCTCCATCTCTTTGCTATAGCCCCACTAGCCTTTTAGTACTTACACAATTCTCCCTCCCATTTTAGATCATTTATCTGTTATTCTGTCTCCTTGGAAAGTCTTTAACACATATTTTTGCCTAATTAACATTTACTCCCCAGTGAGACCTCAACTTACCTGTGAAGTACTCAGGAAAGGATTGCGTGACCTATATTCAAAGCCCCCCGAATTCACCTTCTCTGTCATTATGTCTCCTTAGCTAAACTAAAAATTCCATGAAGACAGATATCAGGTCTGCCTTGATCAGCACTATATTCTCAGTGACAGGAAGGAAGAACTTTTTTCTTTTCCAAAGAGTATATTTTTCTGCATCTTTGTACATATGGCAGAAAATGGCCATTCTAGCCCTAGAACCGTAGCACCACACACTGCAGGGCCACCAGTTAATCAACATTCCAATGTTCTGTTTCCAGATTCTTGGAAACAGAATTTTGTTGGCTTGGAGATGTTCTATCACAGTCCACCCCAAGGTTACTGAAATTTCTAGGTCAATCAGAATCAACATGGCTACAGAGACCTGTTCTCTGGTAATAGGGGCAATTCTCAGAGAAGGGGATGTGGGCTGAGAAGACATCGCAGAAAATACCTGCTACAGTCGCTACAACTAGTTTACTCTTCTGTGTTCTTGACTTTTTTTTTTTTAACTATCTTCTTCTCAAAATTATCCTCATACAGCACACAAAGGAACAATCTCTACAAGGGATTTCTTAAATAAGAAAAGAGTGATCAAGTCGTTCTGATTCTGTCTCCCTGAGTTCTGCCTCTCCTTTGGTAATCTGTGACTTTGATTACCACTGCTACTTCACTACTATCCCTTAGGAGTAAGGGGTTACTCTTCTTCTTCTTTTTTTTTTTTTTAACATTAACATCAAAATAACACCACCAAAATTTAACTTCCTTCTATTCTCTAAAAATGCTTTTGGGATAAGCTAAAATTGGGGAAAAAAAACCAACCCACTTTACTAATATTAAGAAAAAAAAAGGGGAAATAAAAAATGCAAGGCAATAAAAACAGTTTGGTTCACAAAGTAAAGTTTTTTGACCCTTTCCCTGTATCATCTAAATATCTGAAAGTCTGTTTCTCACCAATACCACAGAAAACAAAACAAAAATAATGAAATTCAACACTACTAGGATTTTTCCTGTAAGATTTTTCACTTTAAAAAGAAAAATACAAGGTAACACTTTCTATCCAATTTTTGTTAACTGAAACTATTTCTATATGTTTGGTAATTTCTAATTTTTAAAGGCCTTTAAAATTGCTATGAAAAAAAATGTAAAGGTGTCTGCATAACTAGCGATACAATCCAGATATATTTGAAGTCTTTAACTTCTTATATGGACATGTGTAAAAAAACCCTTTCATTTGTTTTATTGGTAATATAAATTAGAACATAACTTCAGATGAACTACACTTAGGATTCCCTAAAAACACTTGCAAATAGGGACTGAATACAACTCATCTGAATCAACACGATATGAGTTTCCATGAAAACTTTTTCAAGTGTGCTTCATTCTGATAAGTGTGTTCCATGTACTATTACTTCCCCTTACCTTGGCCCTGAACAGAGACTATGAGATGGGTAGCAGTTTTTAGCTTAAATTAAACTAATTACTGTTTAAACCATTACATTTTCCAGATTATCAAGCAGTTTTCATTTTGTCTTGATCTCCTTTTTGTATTATACTACTTTTCCCAGCATAACTGATCTCAGAAATAATTCCTATAACTTTAAAAATTTTTATTTTTGTTGTTTACATTTGATATATACAATTAAAATTATTATCAATACTTGTTTTAGCACTAGAAATATGTAAAATTTTAAGTGTTTTTCTATGGTAAAAATTTTGAAGGGCATATAATGCTTTGAGTTCTGTTTAAATGAGGATTCTATTTTAAAGTACTTATAGTGGCATGGTCTAGGACAGGTGTGGGCAACCCCTGGCACGCGTGCCAAACATGGCACGCTAGTAACTTTTGCTGGCATGCGAAACCCTCTCTTATAATCTTTCATTTACAATTTTTTTCTTAATATCGACTTTTTTTTCCAGATAAATTCAGTGTAGGTGCATCTTAGATAAATAATTTTACATAACAAGATATTAAAGATAATTAAGATATTAAAGACCATAGACATGGATTGACGAGAGGGGGAAGAGCAATTTCTATGCCTCTGCCTTAACTCTCCCTGCCTTCCTAGATCCTACCAGTGTTTTGGTTTCATCCACATACGCTTGTGAATCTTTCTCAGTGATGAATTTTGTTAAGTCTCGTAATAGGAGTAGCCTGACGGATGAAAGTAGTAGCTCGTGCATATCTCTGAAGGTCACGAAATATAAACCTGATGTAAAATTTCTGTCATTAGTGATGCTGCAGCACAAGTCCTACTGATAATATCAAACGGAGTCATAAAGTTTTCTGTTGGACTATCAGTGTACATTAAAAAATAAATGTATTTTTCATCATCATATACTGTGTTTTTGTCGCTCGAATGAATTTTATTATTTCTTCAAGGTTCTTCACATACGTACACCTTAAGAGATATCAAGTAGGTGTAACATGTTCTCAAAAAATTAGGGTTGGCACACAGAAGAATTTTGAGTCAGAGATTCTGCTGGTTTTGGCACACACTCACAAAAAGGTTGCCCACCCCTGGTCTAGGACTAGGTTAAAAGAAATAGGACTGGCAATTAGGAGATTTAGGTTCTAGGCTCCATTTCTGCCACTAAATTGCCGTGCTCCTAATTAACTAAGTAAATTATGGCTTTTCTTTTTTTCCTGCTTATAATAAGAATTAGGCTAAAACTCCATGGTGCTAAAAATGTGAATGTTTTCTGTATTATATCTAAATTTATTTTTAAAAAGAATACCCATTGACTATATTTCTCAGTCCTTACATAGGTCATTTTAAATTCCATCATTGCTAAGCAGCTACTATGTGCATGCCAGCAATATTAAATCCATTCTGGAATAAGGGAAGGCAAAAATAAGCCAAATACATTTGCATGCATTTAATGCACTGAATTGTACACTTGTAATTGTTAACATGGTAAGTTTTGTTATGTATATTTTATCACATGCAGTGCTCCCCTAACATTTCATTCCTACCATTTAAAATTGCATTATCGAAACAGATTGGTTTGGACCTCAGTCTGTTTCTCTAAAGGACTCAATCACTCCAGGGACAAGAACTCTTTTGTAATCCTAGCTGTTAACTCCAGGGCCTTAGAACACTCTCTGTCTGGCTCTTAGTTACCAGGGAGGACATTTATAATCTGGCTTTTTCCAAGAGTTGTTATTTCATATATTTTAATTATTATTTTCAACCAAGGCAATGCATCAAACATATAAATAGCTGTAAAAACTTTTGAAATACACACCAGAAAAATTCTTTTTCACATGTCATGAGTTGGAGTTCAGAAAATCTGGTCACAGAACTCCAGACCTTCAACAAATGTTTGTCAAATTAATGCATGAGACTTGAGAAGACAAAAAGATAAACATTAAATCCCAGCATAAGTCCAACAGATCTTACACAGAGTGTAAGACAAGAACATAATGGTATACATACTTCTTAAGAAGCATGCCAACTAAGCCATTATTGAAGTAGCTATCTAACGAATCCCTATCACTTTCTCCCAAGCAGCTTTTAACAAAGCCATTGTATTTCAGCCTCCGATCATCTAAAGGTAGGCAATTGCCTAGAATAATATCTATTCAGTGCTCAGACAAAACAAAAGCTACCTGTTGGAAACTTTATTGGCATTCCTGGATACTATACAGTCATTTAAAGAAAAACAACAACCCTAAATTTACACTATTTAGCTATATGTCACTAACAGGCTAGCTTGGATGTTTACTACACCAAGGAGAGTTGGCTTTTTTCCCTTTCCTGGCTTTTATCCTGCCCCGCCCTCCTTCAGTTTAAATTCAGTTCAAACACTTCAAGAAGCCAGCTAATTAAATCCTAAATTCTGTGCTGTTCCACCGACAAAAAACATAGTTCAGCGCTTGGGAAAAGCTCGTTCTCAAAAAAGACTGTGCGTTAAAAGTTGCCAGATATCGCGAGCGGCTGTTTCTTCAAAAGTGCAGACCACACCCCAGTGGAGCCCGGTGCACCTTACGGGTCCAAAGGCGCGCGGGGGAGGGGGAGGGGGAGGGGAAAGGGATGGGGGGAGGGGAGAGGAGTGGGGGGAGGGGAGAGGGATGGGGGGCGGGGGAATAACCTATGCGGTTTGAGTTCCGAAACTCCTCGGATTGTGGGAGTGAGGAAGGGGACCGTCTACGTTAGGCCTAACCTTCAGCAAGAAACGAGACAGCGGGCTGGGGAGGCAGCGAACAAAACAGAGCGAGCAGGCTCCGCGCTCCGGCGGTGCCCGCGGGGGCCGCTGAACGGAGCAGGAGCCCGGGCGCGCTGTCTTCCTCCTCCTCCCGCCGCCCCAGGGCGAGCCCGGCGCTCTCCTCCCGTCCTCACCCCGTCCGCGTCCACAGGCAGCCCCCACTCGGGTCGGAGCCGCTCGCCCCACCTTTCCCGCCCGCGCGCGCGGCGACCCCGGCCGTCACGTGTCCCGGCAGCCGCCAAGTGAGGCCGCTTTTTGCGACGCGTGACAGCTAAATTGTGCGACAGGAGGAGCTTAC